AATTCACATATTTCGCCTTTATTTATGGTTAGTTTCGGAAGTTTAGCGCCATTTGTATTTGTGTTATCTACCGTATCTATAGTAGCAGAATTAGATGGCATCTCATTTAATTTAACACATTTTCTATTTCTAAATATTCTACTGATCTTCGATTTACACAAGGTAATTTTATTTTTATATTCCAAGCTATCCTGTGTTTCAGTTTCGAACTCTTTTTCATCTGTTAGGATATATTCGATTTCAGTGTTCAATATTAGTATATCATTTTCATTTTCATTTAAGATGGATAAATCAAATTTAATATTATCCGATTCTATTTCCCTTTCCATTTTAGCTATCAGTCTTGTTACTGATGCTCTTAGCATTCCTCACTTCTTTTTTAGTACTTTTAACATATCCATCTTAATCAATATTCAATCACTAATCGAACAATAATAAATACTTAAATCACAATATATCTAAAGGTCCCTGGTTCGATCCTGGGTTTCGGCACCATGTTGCAACTTATGATCTTTTTTCTTATTCTTATTATTTACATTTAACAATATTGATAAGTGAATTTTTGCTTACCTTTCATGATGTCTATCCACAGGAACGCTTGGAATTCCTTTTCATTTTTATCACACAGAAGCTTTATTTACAGCTATGTCTGCTTACATTAGAACATTCATCATGTTTTTTTGGTTGCCACTACATCTGTCTCAAAAATCCGCAATGTGGTAAGAAAAATATAACAAGCTAAAAGTAAAAAACGCTGCGCCCTCTCATGGCCAGCTACATAAATTGTAACATAGCTGGCACGACAATATAAACAGGCACATACCTTTATAATTGATTAACATTCTAAAATTAGTGGAAGGGGCCCTCTTCTAAAAATTTTAGCAGACTGGAGTTCTTTCCAATCATACTCTGCATAGTGCAGGTTGTCGGATACAACACAGGTGAGATATCTGTAAAGACAAAAGAAAAGTAAGTGAAAGTTATTTAAATGTTGGCCATTGGGGCAGTGGCCTGGAACTCTGCCGTTTCCTTCCTGCAGACTCCCAGGCTCCTGGTTCCAACAAGTCATTCTTATTTCGGTGAAAAAGACAGCCTTCAGCTTAGCAGAGGTTTTCCAATGTTTGTATATTGTGTTTTAGCCTCCAAGGTTTGGCTCTCTTCTCTCACTGAGCAGCCATGCCATCTTTCTCATCTCAGGAATTACCCTGTCTTCTCAGTAGGTTCTGTCATGATCACGCTGCGAAGCTCTTTTTTGTCGCTCTCTGTCTCTGTACCAACTACACAGCAACTCTTTTTGTTCATTGGCGAGATAACGAGAAATAAAAAAACGCCGAGCCCAACGGCCTCATACGAAAAACTGAGAAATCTTCAAGGGAAGAACTTCCCAGACTACCAGAAGTTGGCACAGCTCACTGTCAAGCAGTTCAGCCCTCCAAAACCACTGCACGAGGTCAAATACTCCATCCCAGAAGGAATGGGGGGGGGAACTAGCCTCTCTCGGGGTCTCGATCTACTATAGCAAGCAACCTAACGGACAAGCCTTCACCCCCCGAAAGCTATCCCCCAGCAGAACATTTCTCTGCAAGTAATGCTTGAGCAAAAGGGTGCAGAATGCGCAAATTTTACAGATGGTGGACTACTTAGCAAAACAATTCGGGGTGCAGCAATCCCCAGATAAGGAATTCTGAGAAGCGAGTTCCAAGCCAACAGTATTGGGACGGGAAAAATTACTGAACTCGTGAATAGAATATTCAACACAATTAATAAATTTAGCACTGTAAATATACAATTATTTGACAGTTAAGTTCATTTAAATGTAATACACTCAAAATAAATTGTTTCTTCGGAAGAAATCAGTATACATATTTATTTTCAGGATTGAGTTCCTTTTACAATTCATTGACCTTACCACCAGTCAGAAAATATGAATTTGAGAAACTGTTATAGAACGAGTGGTAAAATTTAAGCTACCTTAATAAAATTAAAATTAAAACCAAAAGTGCAGTTAACAAAACTTCAAAATAATTAAAGTTAAAAAGTTACATAACCTTAAGGGTCAAAATAAACTTTACAAAACCAAAGTAAAACTTTTAAGTTCCTAAACAAAAATTAAATAACTTCACTTAAAGAAAACTTATAAAGCTTCCAACTTAAATTTAAAGTTTACCAAAAGCTTACAGCTTAAAACTTACAACCAGCTTTAAACAAACTAAAGAAAAAAAAATAATAATAATAACCTCAATTACTGATCAACTGAATAAGAAGCACATTAACTTAAAGCTTGAAATTAATAGCAATTAATACATAACAGGATGTATAATTTTTACTTTTTACAGTAATGTATTTATAGATATGTGTATTTTGATATTCAAATTAAAAGAACATTTTAAGAATCAGTTTAAAATTCTATTAGAGGATTGAAGAATATGTACCTAAACATTAAAAAAAAAAAAAAAAAAAAAAAAAAAAAGACTTGGGCGAATGCATTATAAAAATGGATTCCTAAACAGTTGTGCTATCCTAGAGTAATTGGTGTTGAGTCTATTTTCTATTGTGTGTGTAAGATTGGTAATTAGAGCAAACCTGTATGGATATCAGTTGATTTTAAACATGATAGCAGTGCCTTAAATGGTGGCAATAGCATGCCCAAAGCATTTCTGAGGAAATGGAATGCAGAAAATGTTCATTCATGTGAAAAAAAAAAAGATATTCATTATCTTGTTTAAAATTGAATAATGTTGTATATTATTGTTTCTATTTTAAAATTACATGCAAAATTTCATAAATAAAGGAATAAATAAATCAGAAAATTTTATCTGTTTTTGAAGATATGGTTCAGGTTTGCAAATGAGTATCAGCTATACAAGGTTAAAAAAAATCTAAATCAAAATTCTAAATTGCTGTAGGTAATTAACTCTTCATTTTAACTTAGTTTTCCCCCTTTTTATCTGTCCTAGAAACAATAATTCCTTATAATTAATTTTTCTAAATCACATCATTTCAAAATTAATGTTGCTCACACAGTTCTTTCATAATGTTTATGGCACAGATAAATGCATAATGCTTCAACTAATACTAATTTCAAATTTGCAAATTAAAACTTAAAATTAACCAGTTAAAATAAAACTTGCACAAAACTAAATAACTTCATTTTGAACCAGAATTTCATTCTTTGAACATGTTGCATTCTTTCTCTTACTTTTCTACTGCTTCCTCTATTTTCAGATATATTTAAGAAACCAAAAGGTACTGATGTAGGTATTCAATAACAGGCATGTTTACTGCAACAGCTCATTAGTGATGTATCAGTACTGTTCATCTGCAATAAAAGCATTGTTTTGTTTAAAAAAAATGCATTCAATCAGCCATTAATATTGCATTATGTTTCATGCCATTAACTTCTAAATCATCACATATATGTGTATCTGTATGGAGAAAGAATGTAGAATTTATTTTATAAATGAATATTTCTCCATTTCCAGCGAACCTGTATAGGAAAGTAATAAAATGCAGATCAGAGTTGAGCTGAGGTGCTACAGAAATTTTTTAGCTTTGGACATAAGAAAAAGTTACCAGTACATCAGGTGTTAAAAGGACATTTGTATATTTAAATCTGAGAGAATGAATTGTTTCTTTTTATAACAAAATATATGTTTTATGTTATAATATTTGTGTTTATTGAAAATGCTGGATGGTTGTAAGAATTGATTACTTAAGGAGGGTTTTAATGCATTCTTCCTGCATTGGTATCTTTGTACAACTTTCAGGTGTTCATTTGTTTTCATTAAGAGGATTTTCTGTCATTAAAAAATAAAAATATAATCAAGACTTGTGAGAAACATATAGTACAAGATATTAAGTAAAATAAACACATAAATGTCTCTTGAGTAACTTTATTATAAAATGCACAAGTCTCTGTGTGGCATTGATACAATAAAATAAAATTATAGGCAAACATTTGGTTGTTTAAGTATAAGATTATATGTTTTAATATTAGAATAATATCTGGGAGTTTAATCCTTAAACTTATTACTGTGTTTATTCGTGTAATAGATGCACCCCCCCCCCCCCCCCGTTTTGAAGCAGAAAAAAATCGAAAAAATTGCAGATTTCCTGGTATAATAGTCTCACCTACACTTTCACAATGAAAAACTGGCAAAAAAAGTGCAACTATTATGCGAGTAAATACATTATAATCAATAGTGAGCTATAAGGAAGTTATATGAGCCCCTTTTATTTCTTGTTTACTTAAATAAATTAATTTTATGTTAAAGAAGTTTAAAAGATTGAGAGCACAAATTGGAGAAAAATCGCTGACTTACCTAGGGATGTCCTTACAAAATATATTATAACCATAAAGTAATTAAAAAAATTAAATAGTGAAGAGCTCAATGAAGAAAAATTGATGATAATTTTTAAAGTTTGTTATCCAGAGATGTGGTATATGGAAGAAGAAAAATGCCCATATTCAGAAGGAGATAAAAAGATACAAGCAATTTAATTTCATATCAGAACATGAATTAAAAGTAAATGATTTTCAGGATTTGTTGAGTTTGCTTTCTGTAATACTGCTTAAAGAATTCCTTACAGTATATAGAAAGCTAATTCAAAGTTAATCCTAAACAACTTAAATAACAATTTTTGAAAAATCACCACAAAGCTTTAGATTTTACTTTATCAACTACTGTACTACTACAGTTAAAAGAAGGAAGTAATGTATGGCAACTTATGGGATACATTATGTTGCATAGTTAAAAAACTACTCTTTATTTTATGTGATATTTTCTTAGATTTTTTTTTCATGCACAGTTCTTTGTATTTTCTATTTTTGTAAAAAGTAAAGCATTAAAATGAGAATTTCATATCTTGTTTTTTTACAAGATAGAGTAAGCTACTGAGTATAACTGCTTAGCTAAAAATTTGTTTCACGTCTTAAACTGAAATGTACATGCTAAGATCAGATAGTAGTTTCTTTTCTAATTTATTTAATTTTCAGAGTTTTAACAAGATGAACAAGATATTATTTATTACATTTGTATATAATTATTTATTAGAATGAAGTTACTCACGAGGTTACCATTTATTAGATTTACTTTCATGTACATGAAACCTTGAAAGAAAACATCTACACTCTCATTATTTTTATTTAATGTATAATATTGTACTTCAAGACAAGAATATATGTTTGCCTTATTAATAAAAAAGTATTGTGAATGTTTATATATTACATTCACAATACAATTTTTTAAATTGTATTTCTTTGATACAAGAATTTTATTGCTTAGTAAGCACATGGCCAGCACTAAACTTTCTGCTGATGCCTTTCCTGAATTTTGTCATTTCGTGTGGCACAGCCCCGAGTAATATTTAGAATTTTTGCATTTTAATTCTAACCAAATTTTTTTTTTTAAAGTTTTTACTTAATGAAAAAGAATTATTAATATTTATTGTATATTATAAATGCAGAATATTTTTGATTAAAAATTAAATACTTGTTTATTAAGGTAGATAATGAAAAGTAATATTTGTGAATGTTTTTTGTAATCAAGACATAATCTTGAAGAATATATGTATAACTACTCTATATTTCAAGTGATAATTTAAAATATTTATAATATTGAGGAATAAAAGCTTATTTGTGTTAGTAATTTCTCAACTGAGAGAAAACTCATTTGTCTTTTGATCAAATCTTGTCAAATATTAAATTTAAATTTCATTTTGAAATTGAATGATTTTCTGATTTCAAATCTCCAACATATTGATGAAATCAATACAATCAGTGAAAAGCTGCAAAGTAGATTTATTCTTTTTTAATGTTTGCATTTAAAAATGATTCCTTAACACTTGAAATTTATTTAATATATATTCCATTAGGAAATAGATTAAGGAATCTCTTTTTAAGGTAAAAAAAAAAAACATCCAATTTTGTGATTTGCCATGAATGGGAGATACTACAGTGGTATATTATATACAGTTAAGTTAAAAAATTTTTTTAAATGGCATGTTCATCAAAAGTATAGAGATGTGCAACATCAGCATCTAGGACTGCCTGTATGAATGTTCAGACTGAATTACAGGCACTTCCTGGTAGGAAAAACATCACTTTTCAGATTGGTGTACTGATCTTTTCAATGTAATATTAGCACTGTGAAAACAGCTTGCTGAAATTACTTTTTTGGCATATTTTTATACCCTTTTAAGCTTGCCTTCCCATACAAGTTGCCTCTAAATTTGGCACTCAGGTATATAATACTAAATTTTTAAATTGTACTTTTATTTAGAATTAGAACTTAGCTGCGTAGATTGCGGACTAAAATAATGAAACATTAAAATAATAATAATAATAATAACTAGGACAACTTCACTTTAATACATTTTTGCATGAGATATGCAGCAAAGGAATTTTGAAGAGATTCAGTTCTTCAGTATGCTATCTGGGTATTTCACATTCTCAAAAATGATTGTGTTCAATAATGTGAATAATATGTACTATGCCTTCACAATGTATGCAGTTTCAAACATGAACAAGTTATGCAGACATTAAAAAGGGTTTGAAATATAATGAACTTAAAAAAAATATTAAATTATGAATGTACTATTAATTCAACTCGGCAAAGATTACATGGAACCTCGAAAAATATTTTATAAAACAATAAACTGCATAATGCTAGATTTTAAAATAATAATGTATCACTCATGAAGAATGTTTGATTATGACGAAGGTAATTTTTAAAAATTAACTGGAAATTGTCACTAAATTTGATTTTATAGTTGCAGAATGTTTGCTTCATGTCCTGACACCATAGAAAAAAAAAATTTTTATTTAGATGACAAGCTACAAAATTAAATTATTCATGATCTTTCTGAAGGTGTTTTAAAAGAAAGGGAGAAAAGATTAATTAATCCAAATACCGTTAATTCAAAGAAAGATGGAAATGTTTTTTCCCTTAATACTATCTTTTGTGAACTGGGGCACAATGCCATGTATGTTGATGGATAAATAGCCCTAACTATGTAAAGATCAGTTTATTTTAAATTTAACACACGTTTTGTAAGACATTTTCAGCCAAGTGTTCCGGAGTTCAAATCCCAGCAAGGGTATTGCTGATTTCTCATGTTTTCCAACTACCAAAAATTCTGTCTACAACTTCACTAGATAATGGATAATATCTTTACATAAGAACAGAAAGAGTTGTTAGAACTCTACTGATAGTTCAATAGAATTTTAAAACAACAAAAGTCAGATGTTACAACTTCCAAAAAGTTAATTATACAGGAAAAATATAAACTAGTAGATATTTTGAAGTAAATGTAAAACTATTTCAGACTTAAGCCACATAGAATTGTGAAATCATACTATTGTTGTTAGCTTTATATATCATAAGAAAGATACCAAAACAGTGGAAATTCATGAGCATGTGAAATTTCAGTCTGTGCGTGATGTTATTTGTCAGGGATATTTCAATGTGTTATAAATTATTTCAGTTACAGAATATCAATATTTTGCATTCATAAAGGCAAGCATATAACAGTTAAAATTTGAGAGACAAACTAATGAATTCCTCCTAAAAGAATCTCTGAATTATTCATGTTTTTTCCTTCTTAATCACATGTGTTGCTCACTCATTATAGTTGTCATTAGTGATTGAGCTAAATTTTCATTTAAAATAATTATTTGGAGAACATGCATATAAGGCACAGGTGTTATATAGCTATTTTTCAGGCAGAAAAGTAGTTTGAAAAATTGCTAGAAAATATCATCAAGGAAATTTATGATGCTCCATCAGAAATTACATTATATAATAAATATATCAGTTCCAGAGTTTAAAGTAACAATAAAATTAAAAAGAATCAGGTTTGTAATTGATTCAATGTGCACAGAACTGATAATAGTTTGATAAAATTAATTTTTTCCCCCAAAAAATATTACAGTTCTGGAACTTTTCACAAAAGTATTCGGCAGCCCTTCTCAGTTTAATAGAGCACAGTCAGTAGTTACACTTGTAACTACTAAGAATGTTAAAGCCTCAATGCATAAGCTTGCACAGTTATCTCTTGGTGCCTATCGTATTTTATTATGAAAAATAGTGAGTAACAGTTACATATGGCATACAAAGTGACAGTTATATATGGCTGGATATTGTTACAATTAAATAGTGATGGGACCAGTTTAGTTATACCAACTGGCCGAAACAAAATATCATCACGTTTAGTGATAAAAATTAGTTGCCAAAAGCATCTGCAGCTTAGAGCTACCTCACTAATTTGGCAACATAGCTATTTACTTCAATCTATGGACTTGCCCCTGTATGTATTTTACTGGCAAAGATTCACTCTTTTGATGCCTTTCTTGTTACATTACACAAGATTCTACAATTTTACAAATAATTGGTCTTGGTATACTATTTACATTATATACACTATGAGGACTGTGTACTATGGCCTTAATAAGGGGCTAGTCTGTCGTATTGAACAATGTTCAATAGAATCTTAGAATCTGATGACTTGGAACTGAACTACGATGTTGTTCAGCCTGTTTAGAACCGTCCCAGGGTGACTGGACTTTAGGAGAAAGTCTCATGTCATATTGCATCATTTTCTGTCGCCGAGCTGACTAACTGTTGTGCAAAATTTTGTATCACTTCAAACCATGCTTGGAGATTTTGAATGAACTTCTCAGGCTATGAAGGTGCATCTGGAAGGCAACCACATAACAGATCATCAGGCAGACAAGGATCAGGACTGAAGAGTATTTGCGATGGGGAATAGCCAGTAGTTTCATGAACAGCACTGCAAAAGGCCAGTAAGAACAGAGGCAACATCTGGTCCCAGTCCTGTTGGTTTCCAGAAACCATCAGCTGAGGTTATTAAGAATGATTCAATTAAAACTCTCTACCATGCTGTGTGACTGGATGTAAAGGCATTTGAGTTTGTTGCTGAGTAGTTTACATAATTTTATAATTACACTCGCAATAACATTCCTCCCTGGATCAGAATGTAACTGAAGAGGTACTCCAAACCTGTATCATTACCTCTGCTACCGTGAGAGCTTTTTGATTAGAAAAAGTATATGCTTCAGGCCACTTGGTTAAGTATGAGAGTCACTCTGAAATTTTTGACATATACATAAGTTTTTAAAGTTATGAAATTTTAGGAGTGTTCAAACTAGTCTCCTCCAGTATCAGAGTGCTTCTGTAGGCAAATTTTCCAAAGATTAAATGCCTCAAGCCATTCATTTCTTGGAATCAATGACGAAAATTCTTTTATAACATCGTCTCATCTGCAGAATGAAAACGATGCCCACAAAAGTTCTTTTTAGATTAAAATATAGACAAATGTTGTTACATATAGATAGATCAGGTGAAAAGGGTGGCTTTTCTATCCCTTTGATGGTTTTTGTTCAAGAAATTCAATTATAAATCTTGCTAAATAAGAGCATTGCCATGGTGGAACATAAGTCCTCTAACATTCACTTCTTGAAGAATTCCTGGAAGACACTTAATGGTGTATTAGTTAGCTGTGACTGCCCTTCCAGCTTGATGGCTTTCATCAGTCATACTTCTGAAGAAAACTGCATACATTACTCTTTTCATCATTGGTGGGTATGGGATTATCTTCAAAGAACCAAACTTTACTTTACTAACCAAACTCGATGCATTAGAACATCAAAAATTGATATGTACGTTTCATCACCAGCTACAATTTTAGAAATAATGTGGTAGCTACTATCTTTAAGTAACTTATGGGGAACCCAACGGCAAACTAGTTTTTTCTTATGCAACTCTTCATAAATAATTTTGTATAAGGAGGCAGATCCAGCATTAAGTTCTTTCTGTATCATTTGGTAGGTGCAGTGATTGCCATCAATTAACATTTTCCTTATGGCAGACACATTATCCGGCATTACTGATGACAACGGCCTTCTTGTGTGTTCTTCATCCTGAGGAAAGTTGCGACCTTTATGAAATTCTGCAAACCATCTGAATACAGTAGCACGAGATGGATATTCATTTCCAAATGCTAATTGTAGATGTTGAATGCATTCTTCTTGATTTAATCCCACTTTAAAATCATAGCACAATAACGTTCTTGGAGGATACTCAGATAACCGGCACTTGGTGAGGTTCCCGAAATTGCATTTACCAACTTGGGCGATAGGCGCTAAACAGTGGAAAGATTGTTTAGGTTGCTAGCTCAGATAGGGAAACGAAAAGGGATATTTTCTTTCTATATGTAGATGCTTTGCAGATAAATCTTTGTGATGATGAAAACATGACTTTATCAGTAGTCGTTTTGAATTCACTGTTTAATTATTTTCTAAATAAATAAATTACACCTGTAATTAGAGTAAGATAATTTTTATAAAAGAAAATTACAAAATATGCTCCTTTTCTGTACTTATGGCTCACAATATCCCACATGTAATTAATTTTAAAATTTTGCATTATAGACTTAAAGCAGTTTTTTAACCCTTCATAATCAAATTTATTTTCAAATATAATTATTAAAAATGCAATAAAATGATAATCAGACTTTGGAATGCTAATAAATTAGTAGTGCTATATTAAACAAACATTATTCTGCTATTTTTTCTGCATCAAGCATATTTCACTGATTTCTTTATATAGAGGATTTTGTGGATTAAAAGTTAGTTATATCTGTAAAAAATCTAAACCATTAGCCAAGTTTATTTTTTCACAAAATAATAATAATAATAATAATAATAATAAAAGTTCATTAAATTGTATCTTCAGATCTTTGAACAAGATTTATATTTATAGATTTTTTTCAAAATTTAAAGAATTGCACGTCGTGAAAAGCCACAGAAGTGCTTGTTACGAATCTTGTTTCCCTGCAGGTATGCAATTCAGGATTACATTTCTTTGTTTACCTACATGAAAACCATTTCCACACTTAAACAAGAATAAAAATAACCTCTCTTGACCTTATTAAGCAAAATTATGTGCATAAAAAAATCTGGAATGTCCAATATAAACCGGACTGGATAATAGATTGAATAACCTGGAATGCATTTTGAGGATGTAATATTGTGGAAATACATGCATATTTTATTTATTAAACCTTCTATCTTTAACTATGTGCTATGTATTGCATTTTCATGATCATTACTGCATTTATATAAAGAACATGTTTTCAAACATGTATAACCATTATTACAGATAATTGCTCAAATTAACAGTAAGAATTAAAAAAAGAGAAGCATAAAAGTTAATAATGCTGAAGTTATATACATTATAATCTAAAATACTAAGATGGAAAAAATATGTAGATTTACTTAATTACAATAACTATCATTTACAATTTGTTCTATGTGTATGGTTTACTTTCTCAACGTCCTTATGCGATTTTCTCCCGATATTGGGCCGAAGAGTGAATTTTTGGCACATCAAGTGCCTTTTGATGCTACTTCCCTCTTGGCATCAAAAAATTCCTCACGATGATATGGTGATTTGGTAAAATCCTAGTATACGGTGCAGCCTTGGCACGATTTTGAAAATTATCGCCAACACCCCCAAAAAACATATATGTATATATAGTGATAGTATACTATACACCATTGTACTATCACTATATACATAGTATATACTACGTATAACTATATATATTCTTTGAATACCCGTTTGCTACTCATTGTATATGTTCCGTTTTTACTGCTCATCATAAAAGTCGCCAAAAGTAGCCAAATCCCGTGTGCACTGAATACTAGGATTAAACCGGTGATTTTTTGTAATTCAACACAGTGGAAAAAATTGCGCCAAGTGCCGCTTACCTGAAATTTCCCTGTTCTTGCATTAACTCCATTTTTCCTTCTGCCTAAAATTTATTCTACACTAAACTACTTGCAACCGGCAAATAAAAAATTGCCGATTTAGGCTAAAATAGTTCATATTTTCAAATCTAACCGTTAATTTCTTCTGTCACTTATTGTTTGCAGGTATCTATAAAATTTCAGAGTGAGCCCAGTATTACTTTTTAAAATACATTAATACTTTCACTTAAGTACTCGAAGTATCCAGAACTGTTTTTCCTCAATAGTCCTCAGGTAATTTAAACTTGCTGCTGGAAAAGATGAAAATGGAAGTATTAGAAAAATACGGAATTACAACTTTGATCATATAGAAATTCTATTTTGTTCTTTTTTCAGTTATTAATTTTCATTTAAGATAAAACACGATGGACAAAAAATAAAATTCTCCCAAATGCATTACAGTAAGTATATATATATATATGATCTAAAGAATTGCTCAAGACAGCTGAATATCCAAATTAACTTGTAAAAGTGGAATTTGAATTTTATATTGAAATATTTAAAGTTATAATCCCAAAATGCAATGACGCATATAAGCATTATTAAAGACAACTGATGACTTTTTTAATCTAAGTATTTTTATATGTTTGATATTTGTCTTAAGGATTTTCAGTAGGCACAGAAAATAAATATGTCAAATGAAACATCAAATATGAAATTTGCACACTTAAAAAACAACATTAATATATTACGGTTTATCGAACTTTTATGGCAATTTGTCTTGCCACCTGAAATATAGTTAAGATGGATAGGAAATCTGAATAATTAATATAACACGTTTAGTGTATAAATTTCATCTTCAATATCTCATTCTGACACTAAGAGTTCAAAACATTTTGTAGGAAATAAGTAATATGATTTGTCATTAATAAACTTTATGTCATTATGGCTTAATTTGCAAAAATTCTCAATGAACCATCAGCTGAAGATTAATCCAAGCTTTGCATAAAATTTTATACAATACTACACTCATTTAAAAACTATGTCCAATGTTAACATGACAAATAAGGCAATCAACTTTTATACATGAGAAAGCAATTTTCCTTAATATCTAACACATGGCTAAAATTTAAGAAAGATGCAGCATCCACTTTTAGGAACAGGAATACATTATTTAAGAAACTTATTGCTGAACCATATAATCTCAAGATAATTTTTAGTAAAATCAATAGCATTTAAGTAATGTTTTGGAATAAAAAAAAAAAAATAACCAGAAAGACATTTTGCCTTCGCGAAAATAATTCACATGCTGCCAAGTGGGATTGGTCAATAAATATATATTTTACCTTGCATGATTTTTTTTTTAGTAATAGCTTATTTTATTAAATTTTCCTTCTTTTAACTTAGACATGGAAAATCTTTAACAAGCATTTTACATCATTAATATTTCTGCATAAATTCCATAGAATTAACTAAACTAAATTTATACCAATAAAAACATACATCAATATGTCCAGAAACTTTTTCTATTCGAATACAAAACATACTTTCTAAAAATATTTACATATTTTGTAAATAGAATTGAAACTCCTCAGGCCCAGATTATTAAGCAGTCACAACTAAGATTTAGTAGATATTATGACTATAAATATATCTATTGATATTAGACAACATGCAAACGATACATACATTTAAACTGCACCATGACTTCAAGCATTCAAAAATACTTAAAAAATTATGATTTCAATGTTTTCATTCACACAGATTGTGAATGAAGCTCACCTTGAGAACAGCAAAAATAGAGAAGCAAGCACTCTTTTCTTTTTTTGTCTGTTATTATCTTCAGATAATTTTCTATAACAATATTAGAAAAGATAACCAATTATGCTGAATAGTTAAATTCCCATTTTATGGAAACCAAATCTACTAAATGAAATCTAGCACAATTTCTTAAGCCAATTTTACATAAACTTTATAGTTTACATGTAAGCATAAACAAAGCTCACTTGAATCTGATTATGCAATCAGATTGATCAAATGAGTGTTAACTTTCTTGCCAAAGTATATTTGTTAACTATTATGCCAGTATCTATATGAAATTAGGTAAATAAGTTTTCTCACAGTACGTCATCTATAAAAAGCAAAATTACAACAAAAGTCAGGTATAGTTAGTTATAAGGCATTCTCCACTAGAGTGCTTACACTACCATGACTCAAGAAATGTTGTGCAGCTAATTCTTTTTCTACAGCAAGACAACACTGATAGTGATCTTGATAGGAATCATGGTCAGTGAAAACTTTGTTACAATTATCACACGCATAAGGCTTGTTATCACTTGTATCGTTTGCGTGAGTTGCAGAATGTCTTCGAAGTAAAGTTTTTGTAGTAAAAGTCTTTGGACACAGATTACATGCAAAAGGTTTCTGACCTGTATGTGTTGCATAATGTTGCTTTAAATGACCATCTTGCACAAAACCTTTTTTACAGATATCACATGTAAAGGGTCTTTCCCCACTGTGAGTCAGATAATGCCGCTGGAGTGTTGCATTATTAGAAAAACCTTTATCACATATATCACAAATATGTGGAATTTCAGCATTATGAGAGATATAGTGCTCTCTCAAGTGACTTTCTTGAATGAAACCCTTTCCACATATTTCACAAACATGTGGTTTTTCTCCAGTGTGCAAGAGAGAATGGCGACGAAGAGCACTCTTGTATGTAAATCCACGCTGACAAACATCACATTTATGAGGTTTGACACCAGAATGGGTAAAATAATGTTCTTTTAAATGATGCTCTTGAATAAATCCTTTACTACAATATTCGCATATATATGGTTTTTCTCCTGTATGAATTAAATAATGACGATCAAGTGTTGACTTATTTGTAAAACCTCGATTACAGACACCACAAACATGAGGCTTTTCTCCAGTATGTATCAAATAATGACGAGAAAGCAACGTTTTATTCTTAAAAGATCTATGGCATATGTCGCATTCATGAGGTTTTCCTCCTGTATGCGTCAAGTAATGTCCTTGAAACAGAACTTCATCAGCAAATTCTTTACCGCACTTAGGGCAATTATACGGTTTTTCACCAGTGTGCTTCATCATATGCTTCTTATAATCGCTCTCTATCATAAAACCTTCTCCACAGACATCACAAACATGAGGCTCTTCTCCAGTATGAACTAAGAAATGCTCTAGCAGATATTTTTTCCGAGTAAATCCTTTCTTGCAAACAGTACAAACATGCGGTCTTTCTCCTGTATGACTTAAAAAATGCTGTTGAAGATTAAACTTTTTAGAGAAAACTTTGTTGCATATTTCACAAACAAACGTTTTTGGAGGATTGTGAGTTGTTTTGTGCTTCCGTAACTCACTTTTATTTTCGAAAGATTCTCCGCAGATATCGCAAGAAAAATAACCACCATGCGTAAACATGGGAATGATATCGGAAACCATTTCAACTTGTATTTCTTCACCATATGAAGTCATCAATGCTTCTTCAGCAGACATCATGTATATTATTTATGAGAAAACGAAAAAGACTAAAGAATAATTATCACTGGGACCACTTTTCTGTTGTTTTGAATACAACATCAAACATGGCGGTTGAAGAGGAGTTGAGAGAACGGTTATACGCGTTGCCAGTTTAATGATTCTGCAGTTATCAGCGTGAAGACAACTCAGCGTGAACTATCAGCGCCATTCTTGTTGTAGTTGTATACGGAAAAATATTTGTTTCATTAAATTAACTTTAAAATTTACCAAAAAATATTTTTATGTATATTTTTTTCCAAAATTTTTAATTAATAGGAATTAACATGCATACAATTTTTTTCTTTCTTTTTTTAAATTATGATATCTGTTCTAAAAGCACTTATCACATGGAGGGACGCATGTTTGGAGATAACGAACACGTATAAAAATTGATATTTGTGAGAAAGGTATTCTTTCTCATACGATTTTACATTTGTAAATAATTAAGTAATTATTATAATTTTACATTTTCATTTCTATACCACGTAATAATGTCAAAAAAAGTGAAGTTATTTTTTCTTAATTTATTTGAATATTACACTCCAAAAATAGTTCTAATACGAAATATTAAAGTTGGTGTTTTGTACAGAATTGTTCAGTTAGCTATCATTTCTTATATTATTGGGTAAGTGTAAAATAATATTACAACCATAAAAAAATAATTCTGTGTGAAAAACTACTGACATGAATTATTAGTTGTCACAATTCACGTGCAGAAAATTAAATGTTCAGAGTTTTAGAGCAGTTTTACAGACTTCCAGTTTGTTGAATATATCAGTATTTGTTAAATTCCGTTTCATTTTATTATTTCATTTATCTCTGTAATATTTGGTAAATTGCATTATTTTCAGTAAAAGTAACTTTTTTTTTGGAATTTTTTCAGTTACGTAATATGTAATGTATTTTACTTTTATTTGTTTAAGCAATAAAATCTCAATATTTTGTTGTATTGGACAGAGTACCATTTGAAATTTAAGCATTTACAGGCACTAAATATATAAAGTGGTCAAAATAATTTAGTAGAGAGGTAATAGATTAAATAAGTTTGTTTTATTTTTTTTTTTTTTAATTTTATGTAATGCTAAGAATTGTGTACATTTTAAAAGCAAAGAATTAGCTGCTGCTTTTTAAATTGCCCAGTGCAGGCTAAACTTCATATTCTTTCCTGGCCTCCATATATAAGAAAAGTTGTTAATTCAAAGGGAAGTACAAAGTCTATCATATTCTGTTGGTAAAATCTACAATTTTACTTTGAATTAAATTATTTTTTCCCATTTTGAATCTAGTAGTTTCAGATAAGTATTTTTCATAAATTCATTGCTATTTCCTTGTCATCACATGCTATCCCAGTTTATCTGTACGAAGAAGAAAAAATGGTGAATCTTCGGATTATTGTAATTTGGCAACCAACACTGCTACAGCAACCTGCTAGTTTTTTTTTTTTTTTTTTTTTTTTTTTTTTTTTGCACGCCATTTTGTTTTTACGAAGTAAAGGCAAGTTTTTTTGTTTTTTTTCCTTTTTTTTTTAACTCAAAATTTTTTGCAACAATCTGCTAGCCGAATTACGCTTATGCTAGAACTTTTATGGAACAAACGTGCTTAATCATGATGAAGATTAGGTGCGAAATTGGGAGAAAGTGCAGAATCGCCCACTGCTTGCAGTGCTTTTAAGAATTGCACATACACGGTATCCATGTACACGTCGACCTATTTTCACTTAAAAAAAACGACGCCGACGTTGGAAGCGATCACTTTTCTTAGTGAATTATGTATTGCGTGAGCGTCATTCAGTCAGCTGGCATAGAGCCAATTTTCATAGCATCAGTTAGATTGTCTTTTAAAACAGCAAAGCAAGTTTTAACAACTTGCAACCTCAAGAATTGAGAGACTCGCATGGACACGTGCAGTGCATGTTGAACTAAAGAAAATACATATTCTCGTATAAAACAAAATCAGTTTAATCCTAGTATAATAAACTATGGAGGTTAGAATAGCCTCCATGATACCTATTCTAATCTTCATGTACTTTACACGCAGGATTTTGCAACATTATGATGAGCAGTAAACTGGCCATTTTGGTGTTGGTGGCAATTTTCAAAATCGTCCCAAGGCTGTAGCGTATACTAAGATTTTATCGCAAAATCTTTTAAACCTTTTCTTTTTAATAAATGCCGTAGTTTTCATTTTGCAGTAAAATAAAAAAATAGTAATCAGTCACCTAGACTAACCATTTAATATAATTGCCAAAATATCATTGATTATTCTAATTCAATTTTTAGGTCATTATCTTTATTTTAATGTTATTCATATCATTTAATGTTACCTCTTCTCTCTAAATCAATTTATCATTAGTAAATAATACTTTCAAATTTCAAGAAATTTTCTCTGGCATGATCCTAAAACTAATTCTAGCAGTATAACATACCATCACGAAATTTAATGCATATATTTTTTGCTTATGTATTCTGCTAAATAAATATAAAATATCTGACTTTATTTAAAAATATCATTAAATAGATTTCTTTCTTTCGTTTAGCTGAAAAATGTCTGTAAAAAAAGACATTTTAAAATACAGATTGGGCAGATTCTAATCTCAATCTTCAGTGGAGAAAACAACTCCTATTATAGTTATAATAGTAATGCTTTGGGGATTATGTATATATATATATAAGTTAAATGTAATTGGCAATTTTTTTTATTTTCAAGGGATATCGTAATTAATTTACCTTTTAGTGTAAATTTGCCAACGTGCATTCCGTGGATAAAATGGAATTTTCTTAAAACACTCCCGGAAAACCTGAAAAGTCAGGGAATTTCATTCTCCTGTTTGAGTGGCAAACCTGATACAAGCATAAAATATTACACCTATTTAGTCCAAACTGGAAGATAACATAATTTCAAAATGATTGATGTCATAGAAACTAAGAAGTAATATGTTTTTCTGACCTTGTGCTATTTTTTTGTGACATCGATCAAATTAAAGGAAATATTTATTTTGGTATGATCACTTCCCCTCTTTATCCATTTTTTATAAGTTTATCAGAGTGTATCAATCATTGTTGTACTCATTAATCTGCAAATTTAAATACCAAGGCAAATTATGCATTAGCCTGGGAATTTAAAATACGGTAAAGAGTTATGATTAAGTTGGCAGCAAACTGATTTTTAAAAGTTTTGATTCTCATGGCTGCAATTTCAGCTTTGGTACCTTTTACTTTAAAAATTAAGCTCTATTTTGTAACAATAGCAAATGCAGAAAGGTTGTGCATCATTTTAAGAAACTGATTATATTGTTCATTTTGATGTACAATTTTACTATTTCTCCCAGATATACATGTAATAAAAATAAACTTAGAAGTAATGACCAGCAGAATTTTGATGGCGCAGAAGTGTTGATTCATACTGAATAGGAAATTGGAGACGAAGGCAGATTAAATCTTCATTTTTTATTTAAACAAACACGTTGTGGCCACAATCAAGTTGGCACATTAAATGTGCGTATCCCATTACATTTTAGGTAAATTTGCAGTAAGAAAGAAGGAGCAGACAGGCAGCAGTCCGGCTAAGCGTAGGAAGCAAGTGCATAATTTTCAAAATGAAATCTTTATTCCGACTGAGTTAGTTTTGGTTCTCAATACATTTTGACTGGATACTTAAATATTGCTATAAAATTACTATTGGTTGTTGAGTTTTAGTTCCATTTACATCACCAGAATTATTTAAGAGTCATGTGACATGGATTAGTCTAGAAATGACGCAGTGCAGAGAGGGGTTACTACTTTTAGAATAGAGAAGGGAAATTAATTTATGCTGCTAATTTGATCATTTACATATTCTTTATTTTTCTTACATACATATCTTGTAAAGGAAAAATATAGATATGTACTAGTGATTGATTTCTTTAGCTTCTTAGATTTTCTTTACTATTAATTTTTTTAGCTTTAAAGAATAAAAAATACCTAAGAGGTGGGAAAATAAGTACAGTCAAAAGTCTTTAATCCAGACTCGTAGGGACTTCAGTGATTCCGGATTATCGGTTTTTCTGGATTATAGATCATCAATTTAAATCCTTTGGCAGCTCCAGAATCGGAAATTCTATTTGACATAATCAAAACTTCAAGCTTACTTTTATAAAATTGCTCTACAGTCTGCAAAAAATTATAAGCCGAATCCAATTCGAAGATTAAGGAACAACGCAATCTGCAACTTTAACTGAAATAGATAATTAGATAATTTTAGCTTGGCTTATACTGTCCGTTATACATTAAATGCACATGCATAAACGTAATTATGTGCTAGCATAAAGGTAATGTGTAAACGCATTATGCATTTACGCATGCGCAGAAAGTTTGTAGCTTTGAGGTCCGGATTATAGACCATTCCGGATTAAAGACTTTTGACTGTATGAGTTAGTAGAATTAAGGTGGTTGAAATGTGGTAAATGGTTAAAATTGGGCAAAAATTTGCAATATTATCTGATTATCCATACACCCACCAAAAACAAGCAAAAAAGGTATTGAAGCAATGCACTGTGTATCAAAATATACGTGTACGTGTACTATCCTCCGTAAGGGTTCTTCATATATGTGGACAATTTTGCCAGTGAGAGTGCATCTTTCCTACGGAAATTTCAGTGCTTTAACATAGTGTTGGACTGCATACTGCTATTTTCATCATTTTCGACAAAATCTTGGACTTAGTTTTCTGCATGCATAGAGTGGTATAAAAGATATGCCTCTTTTTTTTTTTTTTTTTTTTTTTTCCCTTCTCATTTTAGGATTTTAATTCTGAGGATGCTGAGTTTGTGGAATTCTGATTTTTTTAGTGGAAACCAATACATGGGAAGAACAGTGCAGATGAGGAAAAAAAAAAAAAAACAAGAATGTAAAAAAGCCCACAGGAATAATGCTCACAGGTATAAATGCTCACAGGAAAAAGCCCACACAGAAAAAAGCTCACATGGAAAAATGCTCACTTAGAAATATGCTCACATAGATATATGCTCACATGGAAATAAGCCACTGATAAATAAAGTACGTAGAAATATCCTTACATTAATCAATCAATAATTAATCTGAACATCGTACATGTTCTTAATTTTTAAAATAAAAATTATTTAATTGTTTGAAAAAATTATTGGACAAATGCTCACATTAACCTTTCCAGGGGCGGTATATAAAACAATGCAAACTATAGTAAAATTTTGCATGTACTACAATATTTTATATAGTAGTGCCCCTGTACGACATTTTTATTCTTGTAACATGCCAATAGTTGTTGTAATGCCAATAGCCTTGTAACCTGCCAATGGTTAATTTTTTTTTTTTTTAACTCTATTTTTGCATACTTTTGATGTGTGTCTACAGGAATTGATGTTTAAATGTAGTTATTTAAGTTTGGAGCCAAAAAAGAAGACCACAGTTTCCAATCAAAGTGTGGAAGCATTATGAAGCAGCCTTCGAAAAATCTCCTAAAACCACAAATTGTTACGAAAGCCTTCCTTAGGTACTAAATTCATTATTTAATTGTAGCCATCCCAGTATCTGGTTTTAATTTGATGGACTGAAAAAAGATTTAGCCTGTCAACGTTTATTATTAGCTATTATAAATACAGAGTGTGCTGAA